TACTCTGGCCAAAAATGTAGCATAGAACAGTCCAAAGAGACTAAGGTATATTCTGTCCATGCAGAGTAGAGCTGTATTCAGCATCCACTGCCTCCTCTTGTTAGGAATGCTTGTCATACTTTCATACGATCTTTGTGAGAGTAAATCTTATCCATGCAATTTCAGTAAAATTATAAGACTTTAGTGCCATTTAGTTTAGGTCTTGGGGAGAAAACTTGACCTAGATTTATGAATGTGAGACTTCTGACTGCATTTCAGTAAAGTGTGAGGAAGGCAATTTCTGAAAATTATTATTATGATAGACATCAAGAGCATTTGTGGTATTAAATATGCTTGATTGTAATTGATCATCTTAATTTACTGACTGCTGAACAATGCCTCTGGCAGAGAACAGAAGAGGGTCCTAGAAGAGTACTAAAGAAACTGAGGACATAACATTCAAAACCAGTATTGTCCTTCACTATTTTCTGCAATCTCAGCTCTGACTGTAGTATTTCAGTTGAGAGAAAAATGTGGTGGTATTAATGTTAATGACTTAATAATAGTTGCATGGGGATAACAAATGGTAACTTGCTTTATATTTTGAAGAATTAATGTAAGATCATATGTGAATCCTATCTCTTGACAAAACATATGTTTAAGATGGGGGTAATGTAAATATGGACAAGTTTTTCTAACTCCATTTTCACTTCCATTTAATTTTCATTAAAATAAAAATGTATGTCACAAAAATACTTAGAGAAGAAATATAAATATACCGAACGGTAGATGGCTTCTACCAACAAAACAGTATATTTGACCACTGAATTCAGTAAGTAGTGATTTTTTCCTGGGGAATTGTCTCTATATTTGTCTATGTTGTACTGAAAGATAGATTTTGGAAAGTCAGGATACATTGTGTTCACAGTGTAACACTGTAATGTGTAATGAAGGGGAAGAGCAAACATGTATTTAATTAATTGTAAACACTGCTAAAAAATTGCAAGGTTCATCAACTATATATTTTTTAAGCTTTTTTATTTTATTTTCATATCAAGTTCCTAACATGACTGACATTTTTTGTTCTTTATTAGAGTAAAGCTTTAGTTTAGTTTCAATTAATTTTCATTAATAGTTATTGCAAATATTGTCAAGAAGGAGATCTGGAAAATGATGATACCCAAGAGAGTTCTTTGATGATATGGAATTAGTTTCACAGGTTCAAGGCTATTTATTTCTCTGGGCTGTAACATTTATTGACATGGTTTTTTGAATCTAAACAAAATCAAACACTCCACAAATCCAGTTACAGTTAAAATATGAGTAGGTTTTTCCAGTAATCATATGAGCTAGTAGTGATTCACTAGTTCATGTTTGTAAACTACTCACTTCTGAAATAACATTTCTTGGAAACAACATTCCTGCTTACTAACTTACTGCTGATACGCTACTGTAGTTCCAGGCCCAGGCAAGCAGAGATTCTTCTTCAAATGCAGTTTGTGAGCTTATACCTCAACTATTTGCATGTGGGGACATCAGGGCTGTCACCTGAATTTGAGCTTGGATGAAAATGAGAACTAGTGTTATCATCTATAGAACAGGCTGAACAAGGCAATCAAACCATCTGTTTTAGTCAGGAGAACACGCTGCTTTTATGGCTTCCTATAAAATCAGAATGTCAGATGTGAGAGACATTAGCATGTCAAAGTATTTAAACTGGTCTCACAGTGAAGTGCTTTATTAGTTGATGGAAATAAATAGTGAAATAAAATGAGAAAAAACTTTTTTAAAATGTACCTTGAGCCATTTTTAATTTCCTCTGGCTGACTAATAGGAATTTTACTGTCAGAGTACTTTGACACAGTTTTATAAGTATTCCTCTTGAAATCAGAAAGGCTGGTTAGCAGGACTTTGAAGAGACAACAATGCAGTGTGCTCCCTGCATAATAATGAACCCTCTTGAAGTTTCATACATTCATTGGGTCTTTCTAATCTTTTCAAACTGGTTTGCTCTCAGATTACGGAACCATGAAAACTGTGCTCAGTACTTAACAGCATCTCTCTACCTTTCATTGTGATCTGCATTAGATGCTGTATTAGCACTACCAGAAAAAATTACATATTTCTACACTGTTTCACGGAGTTTCCATACTATCATAGGATTTGCTTTTGAAAGACCAAAGGTCTGTGTGGTATACTTTTAAAAGAAACTACAGACGTCAGGATTAGACAAATGCATATATTACTAGTAAATGTATTTCAAGAGTAGTGGTTTATGGGGTTTTTGAGCTAATTGAACGAATGTCTGAACCATTACTTGTAGATACATGTAGCATAATATAGATTATTATTTAAAAAGCACTGAAGTATTACAAAGTGTTATGTATTTTATACCCATTTATCAAGTGTGCACTATGACAATCTTATTTTGATTTCTTTGATAGTAACTATTCTTGATACCTTTTAAAATTTATATTGTAAGTGAAAATATTTTATGTGTTTCAGGATTATTAAGGAAGACGAAAACAGTAGATCTGATATTCCATACAAGTGTTTCAAAACTGTGCTTCTCTGCCTCCAGGCTGTAGAGAAAGGGGTCTTTGGGAGTGTCCTTTGAAGAAGCTGTGCATCAAACACACTATGATCTGTGATGGTTTCCCAGACTGTCCTGACATGATGGATGAAAAGAATTGCTGTAAGGGCTTATGCAGTTTGTTAGTCCTGTAAGCACTGATCACATTTTTGGGATCTTGGGATGCAAAACAAGTGAAAGTAAAAAGGTTTTCTACAGGCAGAAAGGCTTAGTCATTCCCTCAGCTTCCTTTTCAGTTTTGATATGTCACCAATTTATCTCTTCCCTCATCTTGTGTCCTCACACATCCCTGTATCCTTGCTGTCTCCTTGGTCACTCTGATCCTCTCTTTTTTCTCTCTCTCTCCTCCTTCTTCTGTCTTTGTGCTTCTTTTCTTTATTCCTTGTAGCTTCTTGACTCCTTTTCCCAACTTTTCTCAACTTCATTCCATATAGGTATAGCTGCTCACTGCTCTTTTTTCTTTATTTCCTTTTGATTTTCCTTCTGATCTGTTCTTCAGTAATTTTCATATGTCTCCCTGCTTTATTTTATTTTTCTTCTGCTTGACATTTCTTAGATTCTGTCTCCCCGCTTGGCTCCACAGGCTGCATCTACAATCCAAATTGTGATAAGTATCAGAGATACAAAACTTAGTATGGTGCGCTGATGGTACAGGCATACTGTCCACACACAGAGTTTAAGTCGGCGTGAAGTGCTGTCAGTGTGCAATAGGCTCTCTGGTCCCCTGGGGAGCTGCCCTGTGTTCTGTTTCCACTCGGCATCTGACTAGTGGGGTGGGAAGAGGTAGAAGACCTGCAAATGGCAGCTGCTTTGTAGGCTCCCACACTGCATGCAAATCTGCAAGTGGGTGCTGTAAGATGTTAGCTTTGCTTTCATGAATGTGTGCTACTCCGAATTCTCTTCTTTTGAGAAAACCTGGTGTGGGGCCATGTCCTCAAGACAAGGAACTAGAAAAGACATACTGAGTGACACAGCCTGCACTCAGATGCTTAGTAAACTAGATCAAAAGCTGGAATGTTAGTTCTCTGGGCAATCCCAGTTTTTCAGCATTTTTGCTGGTACTGTAGTATATAATTTTACAATTTACAAAAAGTTGCTTGTGAGTCTCTGGAGTTCTGTTGGCAGACACAGGATGGTAGACACATTTTATGTGCTATGTGGAGCATATGAATATGTTTGCCAAAATGATTGGCAAGCTGTATATATCACTAGATCTAACTTTGCTTCTTTTTGGGAAGAGGCAGTTCACAGAATGTTTCCTAATCTGCTTTTCATTGTGAAGACTACACCATTTGACTTCAAAGACGTTTGTGTGCTGTAATCTAAAAAAGGAAAGTGGTATTAAGGTGATTTGATCATGGTCACACATTAAGATCATGGCAAAGAAAAGATTCTCTGAGGGCTTAGTTAAAGTTAGGCTTAGGTTAAGTTGCAGCATTTTGTGAATAATTATCAGACTATATTTCCTCTCTGCTTTTGTGTCGGGGCTCGATTGTTCCAAAATGGCAGCAAATGTTCCCCAGCTGAGGGCTTCCAGCTCTTGAAATACACTCTCTCTGGAAGGCAGAATTAGAGCTTTTTTGTTTTGCATGCTTTATTCCAGAGCCAGAAAGATCACTTATGTCAGAGTAGGCAGCAATGCCTGCTCTATCTATATGGTTTTCATTGTGAAGTATATTTTTTGCACTAATGTTGCAAATAAATGCTTGGTTTTCATGGCAGTATAGGTATTATACAAGTCAGACATAGGCACAACTGAATGCAGATTCTTTCCATGCAGACTCTCCCTCTCTGCTCTCCCCCAGCTCTCAAAGTTCCCTAACAATGGCATTTATATAAGCTGGAAGAGAAGTGTGTCGGTGAGGAGGGTACTACAATGCTACACACCTCCCTTTCAGGAGGGGTCTGTTATGATTGGGGGAAAGCTAAAAGGCACTTGCAAATGGAAGCTCTTGTGGTTCCTGCACTGGACAGAGATTCAGGAAATCCCTATTTAATGCTGCCAGCTAGCAAACAACTGTGAACTGGAGCATGTCTATCTGTACATCAATTCCCCATTTCTAATTGGAGATAAAAATAATTCCATGATTTTAAATAGCAAAGAAGGATCTAAAAGTGAATATAGAGTTCCTGTGGATGAAAGCAAATACATATGCATTACAGTAAAATAATTTTTTTTCAAAGAACATGAAGAAATAAGCAGATTTGAAACAGTCTCCTAGTAAGCATGGAACACAGTATTTTCACTTAAAGCCTGTGAGAAGCTTAGAGAGGTTTCATATGACAAGACTAGAAATGATGCTAAGTAATCACAGATTTTGACATTTCCAGACACCCTCCCTTCCCTTTGATGCCCTCTGCCACTGTGTGGCACCAATGACTTTCTGCCTCAGTGATGTCCATTCTGAATTTTCATAGAATCACAGAATGGTTTGGGTTTGAAGGGATCTTAAAGACCATCTAGTTCCAACCCCCCAGCCACGGGCAGGGACACCTTCCACCAGACCAGGTTGCTCAAAGCCGCATCCAACCTGGCCTTGAACACTTCCAGGGAGGGGGCAGCCACAGCTTCTCTGGGCAACCTGTGCCACTGTCTCACACTAAAGTATTTCTTTCTAATATCTAATCTAAATCTACCCTCTTTCAATTTAAAATCGTTACCCCTTATCCTATTTCTACAATCCCTGAACAAGAGTCCCTCCCCATCATTCCTGTAGCCCCCTTTAAGTACTGGAAGACCACTATAAAGTCTCTCCAGAGCCTTCTCTTCTCCAGTCTGAACAACCCCAACTCTCTCAGCCTGTACTCATAAAGGAGGTGCTCCTGCCCCTGGAGCGTCTTTGTGGACTCCTCTGGATCTGCTCAAGAAGGTCCATGTCCTTCCTATACTGGGGACCCCTGAACTGGACACAGCACTGTAGGTGGGGTCTCATGAGAGTGGAGTAGAGGGGGAGAATCCCCTCCCTTGACCTGCTGGCCACACTCCTCTTGATGCAGCCCAGGATATGGTTGGCTTTCTGGGCTGCAAGTGTGCATTGGTGGGTCATGTTGAGCTTCTCATCAACCAACACCACCAAGTCCTTCTCTGCAGGGCTGCTCTCAATCCACTCATCACCCAGCCTGTATTTGTGCTTGGGATTGCCCTGACCCATGTGCAGGACCTTGCACTTGGCCTTGTTGAACTTCATGAGGTTTACACAGGCCCCACCTCTCCAGCCTGTCCAGGTCCCTCTGGATGGCATCCCTGCCCTCCAGCATGCTGACAGCACCACACAGCTTAGTGTCATTGGCAAACTTGCTGGGGGTGCACTCAATTCCACTGCCACTTTCTTACTCCTTAATTCTGATCTATGCCTACCTCCAACTTCCTTCTAATTTTTTCCAGTCTCAGTGTGAACTTTACATTGATCATTTCTTTCTCAGAATGAAACATGGTTTTGTCCTTGCAGCGTTTTGTGAAGAGAGTGAACTTGAATGTGCCAACCATGAATGTGTGCCACGTGAGCTCTGGTGTGATGGGCGAGCAGACTGCAGTGACAGCTCAGATGAATGGGACTGTGGTGAGTTTCTGCTGTGGTGTACTCTGCCTAGAAGTGGTGTTTGGGTGGTGGGATTAATCACTGGTGATTTGATGTAGAACACATTTGCAGTGGTGGAGAGATGCTCCTTTTATTACCAAAGGGTGACTGGGTTGAGGTTGGGAAAGCATGCAAGAAAGTGGGCAAAATAGAAAGCAAAGACTCAATGTGAAGTGTCAGAGTGAAAAGATATAAGAAACGTGACATAGGAGGGAACTTCTACAATGTGTAAAATTGGGGAAGTGTTGTGGATAGAAGAGAGAGTAGGAAGATGTTCACATGTAGAATTCATTTGGGCAAAACTTCTAAGCCCTGATTCAGTACTTATGAAAATCAGTGTGAAATTCCCACTGACTGCAATGGTGCAGGTTCAGAGTTTATGAGAAGATAGTCCTACTAGGTCCCCTCTGCACTGGCTAAAGACATGCAGAATGATGTAACCTGCTATTGCTACCTATATTCAGATTAGGCCTCATGCTTTTATGTGTTGTTAAAGCAGAGCTCTCCAAGTATTATTCTTTAAATATAAATTAAGGTGCATTTCAAAAATGTTGCAATGAAAAGGGGAAGTTTGGAAAATAGTAGTATGTCCTCTGGGATTTCACTGAGTTAACATGTATTTCTGTACAGGACAGTTTATATTACTAAATTTTGAGATGCTTTGTATGTAACTTTAAATGCATGATGTACCATGATTTATAAAAACAAATATTTTATATTCATATTGAAGTAGATTGTATAAATAATTTAAGCCATTTAGCATTATATGAACATCTATAAACAACAGCATTTAATAAAACCAATGCGACAGAGAAGAACTGTTCTAGAAATGTTTATTTAAAAAGGAGTAATCTAGGATTAATACATACCTTTCTCTTGGGGAGAGAATATATATTCAGCGTAGGAAATTGCATAATGACTGGCTATGTTAGGATTAGTACTATCAAAGAAAAAGTCAGGGGAACAGTTTAACTAAAACCAGCATGTATTTCAGGAATAACTGTAAACAACCCAACATCTTCTAAGGGATCCTAGAAAGGGAGGGATGTAAATTTCCATTTTGGGCTATTTTGAGAAGCTTTTTGTGTGTGATAAAAGCACACACTTTTGTACATGGTTTAAGAGAGAAACAATGGTAATGATATTTTTTGTAAACAATAGTTGTTTTTTCTTTCTCTAATTACACCTACATATTGTTATAACAGAAACAGTGCATATTACCGACAGTCAAAGAATAATATCACTCTTATGTCAAGCAGCATTCATCCCACAAATTACTTTAGTGATTTCAGTTGGACTGTTTGTGGGGTAAAACATCATTTAAGATTAAGGCTATCAGAAACCCAAGTGAACCCATGCTGGTGACTCAATAGTATTCTGGTTTATTCTAATCCTCGAGATCTCCTTATTGTTTACTGTCTCATGCTGTTCAACGTTAGCAAGGTTCTGATAGCCATGGTTGCTTTGGCTTTAAATTACATAGCTGTTGAGCATATAAAATCAGCAAAAGTGTCAGCATCTTGGAAAATTCTTTTGAATGTAGTTATGTGTCTTCAGATACCATTTATAAAACTGTGTGAAATAATACTGAAGTTGTTCTTTTTCTTTGCAGTTACCCTGTCTAAAAACATGAGTTCCTTGATGTTCCTGACCGTTCACAGGTCAGCTGCTGATAACCATGTTTGTGCTGATGAGTGGCAAGAAAATTTAAGCCAACTGGCCTGCAATCAGATGGGTTTAGGGTAAGGTCAGTAGTTTGTAGCATTGATGAATTTATTAGGACAATAGGAGTGCTGAAGTTATATTTGAATGATCATTGATCACTGTAATGTTAGACCTAGTGTGGAAATGGTTCCTAGAGAAAAGAGGTCATGAAATTACATGGACTATGTCAGGAAAAATAGCTCACTAAATTCTAGGCATTTTCACCACTTTATAAACATTACATGATCGTTATTAAAAGTGTACATTCTTGTCAAGCCTCAATATTTGAACTTGCAGTTACTGCTGAGGCTTAGGTTTGTTTGGCAATGTGATATTCTGTGTCTTCCTAAAGAATTAAAGCAGACTTGTCTTAGGAAACACAGGAAAATTTCTCTGCATTCATCTGCATTCTGCAACAAGTACTGTGACCTAGGTAAGCAGATATATTTAACTTGGGTATCTCTCAACAATGAATTGGTAAAGATAGAGCTTTCTGTGTGAAACTCAGAAAAAAAAACCAAATAGCCTCTATACATCTTTCTTACTGCATGCACACTAAAGTAATAGCTGCTTTATGAAGTAGTTGATGCAAAATATAACTGTTGGATAAAACCCAAGTTCATCTACTCTGATATCCAATGCTGTCTTCTATTAGGAAAAGACAAACCTGATGGTATAGAAGGATATATTTTGTCAGCGTCTGAGCCCCAAACTGGATTAAGAAGTGTCTTTTCTGTCTGCCTTTTACCACTACATATACTGACATACAATCTCGTTCTTTGTACCTTTCTGAAAAAACGCAGGACAAAGACCCTGGGTTACAGTGTCTGCACTCAACCTACTTTGTATTGCCTTGCCCTGCATGGATGCTTGACATCAGTTATAGCAAGACCACCTGTGCTGACTGCCTGCCATTCTAACACAACTGTTCTGTACGCCTCTAGCTGGTTTAGTATTTCTAAATAATATTATCTTTATGCTTTAACTTTATATAACATCCTAATCAGCTTAAATTCCTTTGATACCTTCAAGAATAGTTACTGCTTTTGCAACTATCTTGTTGTCTAAGAACAAACCAATGGTTTTAACATTAAAAAAGTTTTTCATCTTAATATTTCAGTCTCATGGACCTAACATAAAATTCACTAAGCTTTCCTATGATGCTTGCTGCTAGGAAAGTGAGAAAGGCATTCAATTATCACAATTGTCCTTTTTTCAGAGGTGTGCCTAGGCCAAAATTAACATGAATAGAAACTTACACCTTCCTGCCTTTTCACTGAGGCTTGCTAACAGATGCTACCAATCCTATCACTTGTAAGAAACGTATGAGATACAAATAATTATTAAATCTCAAAAATCCACTTTCTAACATGGGAAGATATTCTACAAATCAGTTTTTCTACAAATTCTTTTTTGTAGTGACAGGTGTTTGTGTGAAGGGCAGTGGGAAATTTCAGTTCAAATCAAGTCTACGTCTTCACTCGGAATCTAATACCAATTTCTAATTCTTCCTGGCAGTACTTCAGAAAACAAAAGTAGTGTTTGTCTTTCCTTTCTTAATGCCTGATTTTGTCAATTACCTGAGACTTGATTTTCTTAGCTATACTCCAAGTTTTTGTGAAGTGGTGCTGCCAAAAATACAGTAAATTAGCTTTGAAGAAGATCTATAAGAAAAACAAAGATTATAATGCATTCTCCAGAACTAATTTCAAAAAGGAGTAATATGAATTAATATTTAATTATTTTGTTAACATTGCATGGGGTTTCAGTGAAAATGTCACAGAGGGCAGCATTTTCTATGTGGTGAAGTGAAAGTTGGAATGATAAATTGGAGTTTCACACCACTGTGAAATCTGATCTAAAGTCATAAACTTCATCTGTTGGCCATTATGTCCTGCGTACTTTATTTATTTGACTTACGATAACAAGGAAGTCTTAATGTGAGGATAACATTGGTGTATTTAATAAGTTATTTCCAGTCACCATTGAGGGTACAGGTAAATTAGACTATATATTGCACAGAGCTCAAATAATTATGAAAAAAAATTCCTTTTAATAATTAAAAAACCAAAAACATATTTTAAGAAGTGCTTCTCTTCGGGTATTCTCAATTGGAAATACTTCATTTTACTCCTTCAGAAAATTAAAGCTGTGGGTATAGAAATTCTGTCCATATAACACACTGCAGAAACCCCCAGTTTTGCAGATACGCAGATTTCTTTAATAATGACTTATGATGATACTTGATTTTGATTTAATCTTTCTCTTGTTTATTCTCAGAGAAAAATAGTGCACACAAGATATCAAAGTTGAGACTTCTTAATACCTTAGACCAGGAATTACAATGGTTGGTAGCACATGGTATTTTTATTTTCTGTAAAGCTCTACAAACTTTTCATAAATATGTCTGGTGCTTTCCCAAAAGACAACTCCCAATTGCTATATAATGTGGTAATGATTAAAATATGAAAGCAATGTCTTTCCAACAGCTCATAGATATTTTTAATTTTTTAGCCTAAATTCATCTAAAAAAAAAAAAATGAAGACAGTGGTTAAAGTTGGTTTAATTTAGCTGATAGTGGTAATGCATTTTACAGAGTATTGGTCTATCTATTTGGGAAGTATAAGCTCTGTGTCTGAAGCAACATTAAAGGTAATTCTATTCTGCCTGTTGCACAAAATTCAAGCTATTTTCCTGGCTCTTGGCCAATTCTAATTCCACAGATGATGTGTTTCTCCAGATTTTTCAGAGCACAGCACATGCAGTGTGTGATGCATGATGCAACATCACAGACAACTGCGCAAGTTCCAAGCATTGTCTGAAAGGCTTTGTACCAGTGGCCACTGTTGCTCAAGCTATGCAACCTGTGTTCTTTGTATTTCTTAGGTTTACCTACAGCGCAAAAGGCTATTAGATACAAAGTAAGCTTTTGTTTATAATGCTAAGAGACTAATGGGAACTGTTTAAATCTTAGGTTTCATAGTTTACAGCCAGAGGGGATTATCAGATTACCTGATAGGACTGCCTGTTCATCTCAGGATAGATAATTTTTTTCAGAGACCTCTGACTGAGTCCCAGATTTAAATACAGCAAAGCATGTCTCTGGCAATTGGGTTTCCTGCTACCACAGTTAGAGAATGGAACAGCAGTTGCCATCAGCATCTCAGATCAAGGGTTAGCTGTGTCTGGGCATGTGCTGCAGAGGCTGTGCTGCTGAAGCTGGGCATAGCTGTGCAGGCTCAGAACGTTATTTTAGAAGACTGTAGATTTGTCTCGATGCTTAATTGAAGAAGACCATTTTCATACACTTTGAAGTCCACATGTTTTGTTGGTGGAATAGTGATCATAAAACCACGGTCTCCTTAGATCTGAAATTTGACAAAACCAGACGTGAATGGAGTTGTTCCGTTACTGTATGGCAATGTAGTGAGATAGTTTTTCTTTCCTACACGAGGGTGAGATAACAAATGTAATAATGATAAACTTCAGCAGCTTTCACCCAGCAGAACAAGGGGAATTTTAGCTGATCTGCTTGTTCTGGTCTAGCAGTATCAGCAAAAAAATCACAGCTGTTTACCAAGTTACTTGTTTATAAAAATCTACAGTAAGCTCTGCCGCTTGCTGCTGCTTCTGCTGCTCCCTTTCTTGGAGGCTGCGCCACTGGTGATCCACTGAAACAGTGTCCCGGTTGGGGCTGGCCTAGAGCTCCCGTCGGTCTGGCAGCGGGAGGAGCTGCAGCCCCCTGAGACCCCAGGGGCTCCCCAGGGCCCAGTGCCCTCACCTGTGTGCGGGGGCGGGGGGAGCACAGCTGGAGGGCTGGGCCCCGATTGGCCGATAGTCCATGTCACGTGACATTGTGCTCACTATATAAAGGCAGGAGGGGGCCAGGAGGGGCTGCCACTTCTGGGAGTGTGGCTGTGGGGCCTTTGTGCTGGGGATCGCTGGCTGGGAGCAGGTGGGTGTCGGTCGGTGGGTGGGTGGTGAGCAGCTGTATGGTACATTACCTGTTGGTACTGCTGTCAGCGTATTGTTCTGTTACTGTTATTAAACTGTTTTTATCTCAACCCGTGAGTCTCCCTTTGCCCCTCCGGTTCCCTCCCCATTCCCAAGTGGGGGGGGGTGGGTGAGCGGCTGTGTGGTGTTTAGCTGCTGAGTGGGCTCAAACGACAACAAACAGGTAGCTCCTTTTCCTTTTCTCCTCTGCCATAGCATCTACTCTGTGTGTATTTGTGCAAGGGAAAGGCCAATCTCTTGTTGCTGCCTGGCCTGTTGTCTCTCCTAATATTTTGTCACTCTTTGGAACAAAGTTCTTTAATAATAATTGCTAACTGAGCAGTCAAGTTTCTGGACCAATAGTCTTCTCTTCTCACATGAAGATGCTTCCTAATTACTTTGTATCTGTTTTTACACCAGGAATAACAAAAGTTTAGTTTAATGTCTTATTTGCTTAAAAACATCACAGAAACAAAAAATGGAATACTTCTGAATAATACTTCTGAATCCATCAGACAGGAAACAGATGCTCTGAAATAGGCCTAATTTGTTTTATATTAGTGCCCATGCACACGCTACTCATTATCTTCTGGCATAACACAAGGCTTCCTTTTTCAAGCCTGCTGTCACATGAGGCTTAAAACAATGGACTTATAGAAGCTGAACAGAGGCATGTTACTGTTACTTTGAAGGGAGAAGGAATCCAGTTTATGGTTTACACTTTATTCTAAACTTGCAGATTAATATATTTGAGAGTTGTCTACAATGGAATAGGGAGAGTGAGGTATTAAAACCATTACTGTACAGAAGTATCCCAAATTCTATTTTGTCTTTTTTTTCATTATGATTTAGTATGAAAGTATAATGTTCCCCATGTTTCACTGCAAACTATACTATAAACTTTGACTGTTGTGCACAGTGATCAGCAGGTAGCAGGCTAGAATGTTTTGAAAACTAATTAATATTTCCATTGTGCGATTTATGTAATGAAATTACCCTAAACATTGCTTTTCCCCATTGTGAGCACATTTATAATATAGAAGA